TTAAAAGTTATTGTTTCTACTATTTTAAAACCTGTGTTTAATTTCTGGTGATCCCTAAATCTCAACTCCAAAAACTCATTATTTCTTCTAGAAGCCTTTAATGTCGTCAAATTTCTACGCTGTCTTCTTATGAATTTGCAACTGTGCTTTTTGTGCCATGTCATTTTCTATTTTCCCTACTTGACTGTAAGCTCAAGGAAGAAGGGCCTGTGCTTTTGCTCATCATCGTTCCCCAATGTCAAATACAGGGTTTGACCTATACTGGAAGCTTAATAAATATTTATTGTTTCATGCAGAACTAGAATCCCTGGTTTTGCCACATACTGGCTGTATGATCTTGGACTAGACACTTATCCAAGTTCTGTTTCCTCTTGTGTAAACTGGGGGTAATAATACCTACCTTACAGGGTATCTAAGTTCACCTTTGCCAAAGATGACTTCCAGGACTCCCTTCCCTTTGTCTTGTAGGTTCTCTTTGTCCTACTTGTGCCAACTGTGGCCTAAACTCTTAGAACTGCAACCTGGGCAGAACCCTAAGACCTAATATAACGCTGTAAGGTTGGAATGTCATGGACACCCAATGAATTAATGCATAGGACTATTAATACTTGTTCACTGTTCAATAGAAGAAATAAGGGCAGATACCAAAATACCATGCTACAAATATGGTTATGCTACAAAGGAGATGCAAAATTTTATGAAAATGAAAAAAGTTAATTTCTGAAGGGTCAGGAAAGGCTGCATAGAAGTGGCTTTCAACCTGCCTGAAGGATGGATAGGATCCTATAGACAGAAGACGGGGAGGGGAACATTCTAGGAATAAACCAACATCATGTAGCGTACTTGAGTTAAGAGAATGTGGTCCCGATGTCACTGGCAGTTCTTCTGGGAGCTCTTGGTCAGCTCCTTCTCCCTTCCTCCCCAGTGAACCTTCCAAATTCTTCTCTCCTCCATCCCTCTAAGAAACTCTACTCTCAGCAGACAGCCTCCTTCCCTGCTTCACAAAGAAAACGAGACCAAGGGGCATGAACTCCCTCAGCTTGCCAGATGTAAGATGTTGTGTCTGTCCTGCACCTCTTACATCCTTCTCTTCAATGCTTAATTCATGGCAGGTAATTTAAGTACAATATTGAATGACAGTCATGGCTATACAATGCCATTATTTCTGAGAGAATAGAAGTTTTCTAACAAATCAGAACTAGTGGATTAAATAATGTGTGGTTAAGTTAATGTTTGGTTAATTGCCTGCAGAGCAGGCCAAGTGGGGTTGCCTGCCTTTTACCTTGAGCTCGCCAGGCTTCTTCTCCTCAGAGGACTTGCAGCGGGTGATCTCCTGCAGCTTCTGCTCCAGGGGCTCCAGGCACTTCTGCAGTTTTTCCTGAGGGGTGGGAAGCAGGAGAGGTGGCGTTTGGGTTGGCTGGCAGAACCTACCTTTGTTTTAAATCATTTGTTTGCTTCCTATGCATCTCACCACCTCTTGACCCAACTCTTCCTTGACTGTCATATGGGGTGTCAACTTCCTACAAGTCCCTCCACCTGCCACCAGCTTGTCCCCATCACCTTGCTCACCAAACTTTCCTCTCGCTGAATCTCTTAGTTGTCCAGCTGTCACCAGCTCTGATCCCTTCCCCAATCCTATCCATTTTCTTACTCAAGTAACTGCCTATCATGTCAAAGTGACCTTCTGTACCCTCATATCCTTCTTCAAACTCATCTTCCCATCCAACTCTAACCACTGGCAAACATAATAAAATCTTACTTATACTATAAACTACCTTAAATCCTGTTTCCAAGATTTTATTAACATAATTAAGCAAAGTACTTGATAAAGTGCTAAGACATTAAAATCTCTAGTTCCTATTACTCAAGCATTTACCTTGTGTCTCAGCAGTAAGTTAAACCAGATGCCACGTTATCCATTGAGAAGATGCAAACTACAGACTGGTTCAGCTTAGTCTGGTGGGGATCAGGCTAACGTTATGTTACCTATTCCCAATACCAATGGGAGAACAAGCAGCGTTCTGAGCAGGGGGAGGGAATGAAGAAACCAGACTACTTCTCACTTCTTCCCAAGTTTGATTTTTTCCATGTGGTTTCATTCATTTATGAAAAATATGATGCATTCCAAGACCACATACTCAAATTTTGTGTTACAAAAGTCAGAGAGAAATTTTGGGGTACTCCACACCACTGCTCTTCTTCATGCTTGGGGATAACTGACCAGACGTACTATGTGCTCCCTGCATATGTAGCTCTGAGGGTCTACAGAGTGAGGACCAGATACAGTCTTGCCCTCAGGAGCTTCTGATCCTCTACCCGGGGAGTCTCCCACCCTCTGCGTTCCTCCCTCTTCCCCCACATTAACATCATGTGTCTTGTTCCCCACCTTATACTCCTGTGTGGCATCGTCCAGTGGCACGACGGTGTGGGCCCGGTGGGTGTGGGAAATTGCACATATCAAACATACAGCCTCCTGGTCCTCATAGCAGAAGAGGCTGAGGGCTTCATGGTGCTGGGGGCAGAGGCTCTCATCCCGGATCTTCCGCTTGACGGCCTGGAGCTGCTTAGCAATTTCCACCATACTGCCTAGTTGTCGATTAGGCCGGAGACTGCGGTAGCGAGATGTCTTTCGACAGACAGGACAAGGGAAGTCCCTTTCTAGGTCCTCCCACCAGCGGGTGATGCAAGCTTTGCAGAAGTTGTGCCCACACTCAATGATGACAGGCTCCTTCAGATACTCCAGGCACACGGAGCAACTCGCCTCCACCTGTAAGTTCTCCAGAGCTGCAGCTGTGGAGGCTGCAGAGGCCCCGGCCTCTAACAGACTTGTCTCTGCCATTATTTAACTTGAGGATAGGAAAGAGGCAGAGAAAAGAAAAATATTAGTTGGAGGTTTTTTTTAGCATCCCTCGTCTGACATTTACCCCCCTGTTAAATCCCAACTCCAGATTTAGCCCCATCTTGGTACTTTACACCTCTCTTCCACTAAATTCAACCTGTCTTTTGTTTCTTCATTTCCAAAACTTGTGACTCCCAGCCATCAATCTAATTTTTTTCCCTCTTCACCAAACTGACACACAACCCCCAATCTCTTCTGTCTTTTACCTCTGCTTCCTCTTGTTAGAAACAGAGGCTTCTTTCAACCCAGTGTATTTCTCCTGATGCAGGCTCATACCACCTGTATCTTGGAACCACTAATTCTAGACTAATGTAGCCCTAGCTTAACATATTTTTCCAATAGATGACAAAGGAATTTGGGAAAGCAAAAAGTGCCATAAAAGTCAAAGTATTAATTAAGATTTCTTAAATACAAAGTTTAATGTTATAAAGAGCTTTATTGCAGTAGTCCATGGGAGCCTAAGCTTGATTCCCTGCCACTGTTCTCTTACTCTTTCAAAGGGTAATAAATGGCACGAGTTAGGCAATGGTAACAACCTCTTCTTTTCAGGAAAGTTTGAAATTCTTCCTTTTATCAGACTAGCCTAGAAGAACTGTGCCCTCTTCTTGGAATGAAATGATTCACATGACATCCCATTTCTATTTGTGTGCATTTGGACATCTGCAACTGCTGAAAAGTGATAAATTCATGGCAACTATACTACAGAGCATATTACTGAGCCCAGGCCAATAACTTCTTGAAAAGAGGGCTGACGAGTCTATTCTAAATATTCAGCAGTGAATGGAGTCTTTTGAAATAGATATTGATAACTAATTCCTCGGACATACTGTGGCTCCAATAGGTTCTAGAGTGGTTGGGAATTAAGAGGAAGAAAAGAGGTAACAAAATCTCCCTCAAGTGAAGCCTCAAAAGAATTGGAAACGCATCAAAGAGATTTATAAAGCAGAAGGCTGGTCCTCTACTTTATCCTTAAATGTCACCTCTTTTATCAATGAAATAGCTGATTCTCTATTCCATACCCCCCCACCCCCATCAAGGGACCCAAAAGAAGGAAGGAAATTTAGTAGGTCTATGTGCTGAGAGAGAAGTGGCCATGTAATGAGTTGGGTTAACAATGATTATTCCTGTGTATATTGATGGCACACTTGAAAAGTGTTTAATTTGGAGTAGGAGCTGATAACTTATTTGGAGCTGAATTTCTCCCCTCAACCAGGAGAGTTCAGTCAGATGATTTTTCGCTACCTATGGAAATCCGACTTTGACTAGTGACCCTGTCCCTTCCCCAATCTTCTAGAAATTAGGTGGCCTCCTCACCTGGAGTGAGTTGATTTGTATGCAGTTAGGGACCAGGATGGATCTAGACTGGCAAAGAAGTCATGTGGAAAAGAAATGGGGAAAAGGTTAGGGAAGTATGGAGAGGGCTTGGAGCTACAGCCATGGTGAGGCCTCGGGTGCCTCTGGGTTGGTCATTTCTTTCCCTCTATTCCTTGAGTCTCAGTAGAAGGGCAAACTTCAGGGACGTCCTCATTTTGTTTCTACCACTGTCCGGGGTCCCACTTTGCGACCCTCTCCTGAGCGTGGTCCACAACTCGGTCCCACCCCGGTCTCCATCTTCTCCCGCCAGATCTGGCGCAGGGGGACTGGAGAGGAAGGGGGAGGAAACGTCGTAGTCGGCAGGGAGGGAGGGGTGCGTGTCCAGGTGAGGAGGAGGTGTGACGTGAAGGTGGGATGCCCGCCGCTATGACGCAGCCGAGAGCCGCGGTGCCGGCGTCAGAGTTGCACCCGGGGAGGCGAGCGGCAGCGGGACGGGGGAACGGCGGGGTAGCCAAGCAACGCCGGACGCGCTGACGTCGCCGGGGCGGCAAAACGTCCGCCCGGGCCCGAGGCGGGCGGAGGCAGCAGTGGTTACGTGCGGGGGGCCGGTGACGCAGTCTTGGGGCGCTGGGACGCGGCGTGCGGAGCCGGCCGGCGGGGGCAGGCCCCAGGGCCCGGGCGCGGCGGCGGGACAGCACCTACCTTCCCGGCTTCGGGTCCGGGAGTGCGGGGCGCGGAACCGCCGGAGCGCTGCCTCCCTCCTTCCTCCTCCCCCCGCCCCCGCCCCGCAGCGCGACACACAATACTCGCCGGAAGCGGAAGCCGCGCCGAGAGGCTCGTGTCAGTGGAAGTCGGGGTGTCGCCGGGTGGCCGCGGGAGGGCCTAGCGGTGCCTGTGGAGGAAGGAGAAGGCGGGGGCCGGAGGTGAGAACCCAGGAGGAGTCAAGGGCGAGAAGGGACCCGGAGGGGCAGGTGGCTGAAATGCCGTCGTCCAGGTGACCCGAGGAAGCCTCCGGAGAAAGAGGGCCGCGCATGCGCGTGGTTGAGCGCTGAAGCCCATTGCCCGCAGGGCGCCGATGGACTCCCGGGCCGGCGGGGCTGTCCCGTCCAGGCTGCGGGCCTGGGCTCTGGCCAGGCTCGTCTGGGCCCGGGTGGGGCTGGGAGCCGCCGGGGGCGGGGCCAGGGCGGGTTGGGGACTTTGAGCTACACTTATCCTCTGTGCAGCCAGTCCAGGGGGAAGGTGGCTAGTGGAGGCGGCGGCCAATTGCGTGGCGGACCTGCGGGTCTCAGCTGGCACGTCACTTCCGATTACTTGAGTCTAGCCTTTTAACATTCAGGGATTAAGTGAGTTCTCCGTGCCGTGGGCTTCGAATGCTCCTCGCCCTACCCCTGCTTGGCTGGCTTTGCTGAAATGACCTACTTCCCCCGCCGAAGCGGGAGCCCTGAAAGAGCTGGTACTGCGACTCCGCGGTTCACCTTTGTATCTTCAGCTCCTGGCTCCGGGCCCGACAGCAGCAAGCGCGGTAAACACTGTTAAGTGGGTACGGACCGAGGCCTGTTCTTTCCACTTTGGGGGCTGTGACTTGCGATTCTCCACAAGAGCAGGTGGTGCTTGTGTGGGACTCCAGACTTTTGCATTATAGCCTCCCTGCTTTCCTCTCCTCTGCTGGAAGCTTCGCAGGCCTGTGACTTTGGAGGAAGAGGGCGAGGTGGTGAGGCTGGAGATGAGTCCGCTGAGAGAGGTGTGATGAGCCTGGGGAGGAGGTGCTGAGTAGAGGTGTTGGAGCTGGGGAGGAGCTAGTGCTGGGTAGAGGTGTGGTGGGGCCGGGGAGGCGTTAGTGCTAGGAATGTCTGACACTGCTGGTAGGAAAGGCAGCCTGCCCTGCCCTCTCTCCCCCTAGGCTTGGCCGCAGAATGCCCACTGAGAGAGATGAGCAAATTTCGGTGTACTCTCCGAGAGGAAATGACCCAATGGACCGTTGCTCCTCTGTTAAGTTGTGATGCTGTTTACAAACACTGTGCAGTATTTAACCTCTCATTCTGGAAGACTAGAAACTGTTTGCTTGCAGAAAATATCAAATGTTTGAGGTATAAAGATTTAGGATCACAATTGGTCTACTTGTTCTTTACTGTTCCTTTGCTTTTTGCTCACTTTTTTCGGGAGCCAATGATTTGAAGAGGGTTAAACTTGAGAAAATTACGTAAACTTTTTTTCCCTCATTGCTATTTGGCCTTTAGGAATTTAGCGGCAGTACTTATTCTAGTTCACAAAACGCCTCAATCCTAAGGTAGGATAGTTTGAAAGCCACCAACTGGGCGGTCAGCCTCTTTAGCCTTGCTTTTGGAGGGAGAGTGATGATGGTGAGGTTTGGTTCTGGGTTTGATTTGTTTATTTGTAACTTTTAAGGTGTTTCTTGCCCTCCATTCTGGCTTTCTGTAGGTGACCAGGGATGTGGTTAGACTAAGGAAATTCCCAGGATTGAAGTGCATTTCCAAGGATGATGAAGAAATGTATTTGTTTGGAGACTAATAGATTATTAAGAGAACTTTATGCTGGATATTGAGGGAGGGGGGAGAATGTTTAGGTAAAACTGTAAGATTATGAAGGACATGTAGTATGACATAGAACAGGGATTGGCAAATCTTAAAGAGCCAGATAAGACATATTTTCGGCTTTGTGGCCCATAGTCTGTCTTTGTAGTCTGAAGACAGCATTTGACAATACTAAATGAACGAGCGTTGCTTTGTTCCAATGACACTTTATTTATGGACACTGAAATTTGAATTTCATATAAATTCTTCATGTGTGGTGAAATAGTGTTCTCCTTTTGATTTTGCCCACAATCATTTAAAGATGTAAAAACCATTCTTAGCTTTCAGGCCACACAAACATAGGTAGCAGGTCATAGTTTGCTGACCCCTGACATAGAACAATAATGAAGGACACAGTATTTTCCAAGAGAGAATAATTGGGAAAGAGGGTGAACACAATGCTGTGATCTCTTATTTCCAGCTGTCTGTATAATAACACAAAATAATAATAAAGGAAATCTGAGATCTTAACACAAGTTTGTTATGTGACCTGTAAAACTTGGTGGGCTGAGATTTATGAATGTACTAGGATAGAAGTACATTCTTTAAACAAGGGAGGATATTCTTTGTTTAAGATTAAAAGGAATTGTAGTTCAGGAGAGGTGGAATAGCATTGAGTTATAATGTTAAATTATTCTAAGAGATTTCCAGGAGTATGCAAAAATGAATTAAGTAATGAGATAAAGGGTCATTAAAATTTTTTTAAATATATATTTTTAATATTGTTTTTATATCAGGAAAGGAGAATAAAAGATATCTTGAAATCTCTGAGTCATATAGAGGAAACAGATATATTATTAGCGTTGCAGGTAGAAAACTGGTTGAGGCCAGATATGGTGGGTTGGGGAGGGAGAGGGTTCAGTTGTCCAGACTTCTGGGATTCTTAAGGCAAAGCATCTAATTTTCCCTCACCATTTTTTTATTATGAAAAATTTCAAACATACAGAAAGACAGTCTTCAGTTTGCTTTTGATAGTTTCTGCTGGCTGTCTTTTATCTTTCCAGTTCAGTGACATGGAACTACCCCACTCTTTTTCAAGTCTGCATTATTACTTCATTGTGTAGATGTATAATTTACTCAACCTTTTTTAAAGAGTAGACATTTAGGTTCTTTCCATGTCTTATTAAATAAAGCCTGCAGTGAACATTCTTGCACATATATTTTTTCTCCCTGTTTTATTGAGATATAATTGACATATAACATTGTGTTAAAGATACAACACAAGAATTTGACATATTTGCACATGTATCTTTAGATTGTCGTGCCATGTATTAGTAGGACAAATTCCTGGAAGTTGGGCTGTTGGGTTGGAAGGCATGCAAATTTAAAATTCTGATGGGGTCTTCCAGTTTCCTTCCCATAAAGCTGTACCTCTTTATACCCACACCAGCATATTATGAGATAGTCTATTTCCCTACAGTGGAGCCAGTGCTGAAAGTTTCATATTTAAAAAATTTACTGTTTTTCATTTAAAATTTTTAATGATTGTATAGCAGGTCTTATTCTGTAGGTACCATGCATTTTCAACCTTTTATCAGCTCATGGGCGTTTACCTAGTTTCCTGTCCATGGTTTGTTACTTAGTGTTCTCTTTTTCCTTACTTTGTTTTTGTTTTTTTTTTTGGCTGCTACACAAACAGTATTACAGTAAAGATTTTCTGAACATATGTCCTTATGCTAGTGGATTTATTACTGTGAGAAAGGTTTCTGGGTCGAAGGATATTATGTAGTTCTAATTTTAATGGATAGTTCCGTTTGTTGTTTCAGAAGCCTGTTACTCTTTATATTTGTCTTGGCAGCAATGTATGAGCTTGCCCCTCTCCCTCTTTCCCAGTAGAGACAGGTGTTATCTATGTTTTTGTTTTTTTTTACAGCCAGTAAAGAGATGTCTTAGTGACTGAATTACATTTTCTCTTCCTTAGTAATTTTGAGTATCTTTTGTTGGTATCATTGTTTGTTTGTCGTTGGTGTTTGTGTTTCTGTGCATTTCCAATCCTGTCCTTTGCCCATTATCGATTTCTACTTACATATACACACATCACGTTGTCCTCGTTAAGAAATCCATCCTGACCCCAGATTCTAATTTGCTTTCCTAGGTTTTCTTAGAATATTTTTTAATTTTTACATTTAAGTCATTATCTTTATTTTAAAAAATATGTAAAGGGAAAATCTTTATTTTTCTCTAAGGCATTGCTGTCCAATAGAAATATAATGCAAGCTAGTTATGCAATTTTAAGTTTTCTAGTTGTAGCAGCATTACAAAAGGTAAAAAGAGGGGGCAGCCCCGTGGCTGAGTGGTTAAGTTCGAATGCTTTGCTATGGTGGCCCAGGGTTTCGCTGGTTCTGATCCTGGGCGTGGACATGGCACCACTCGTCAGGCCATGTTGAGGCGATGTCCCACATGCCACAACTAGAAGGACCCACAACTAGAATATACAACTATGTACTGGGGGGATTTGTGGAGAAAAAACAGAAAGAAAAAAAAAAAGGAAGATTGGCAACAGTTGTTAGCTCAGGTGCCAATCTTTAAACAAAGTAAAAAGAAACAGGTGAAATTCATTTTAATAACATTTTATTTTACCAACTGAACACATTGTATCAAAAATACTATTTTTACAAGCAATCAATTTTAAAGTTATTAATGAGATATTTTATGTTCTTTTTTCATAGTAAGTCTTTGAAACTTCACATCTCACTTCAGATGAGGCACATTTTACGTGCTCGTTGGCCACGTGTGGCTAGGGCTACTATATTGGACTATACTATAATGCTACTATATGCATTAGATGGATGGGTCGTTGTGCTAGCTCCTTATTAAATAGTTGTCCTTTTTTCATTGAATTGAACTACTACACTTGTCATATATGAAATTCTTTCATAAACCTGTTTCTAGATTTTTGATTCTATATTCTAATCCTCTCATCTGTTTCTTTTTTCTTACACCAATAGCACAGATTTTATTTCATTGACTTTATAGTATTTTCTGAAATTTAGAAAGATAAGTCTCAGCTAACTGTTACTTTTATGCTTTTCCATACATGTTCTTGGGTGTGTATTCCACATAAACTCTGAAATCATTTTTTGCCATTCTCTCCCCTCAAAGAAAAAATATATTGTGATTCTAAATGGAAAAGCATTAAATATATAACTTAATTTGGATAGAGTTGCATTTTTTATGTCTTGCCATCCAAGAATGTGATTTGCTTTCTGTGTGTTCAGGTCTTGGTTTATTTCTTCAATAAGATCTTGGGATTTTCTTGATACAGATTCTTTTATCATTTTTATTGCTATGATGAAGGGAGATTCCCCCCCATTTTCCAGTAAGCAAACTGGATGCTTCATTGCTTGGATAAAGAAGAAATAATTGTTAATTTGACTATTTCTCATATCTAGACCCCCATCATAATCACTTACTAATAATAGTACTTTTTTTTTTTTCAACTATAGAGTTTATTTAAGTGTTACTGGCACTCCATGATTTCAGTGTTTCCCCAGATAATTCTTATGCATTTGGCCAGAGAAGTATATTTGAGATCTGCTAATCTGTATGCTAAATGTTCTCAAAATTTATTTCCAGCTTATATCTCTCTCCTGAAACTCAGACACCTGGAGCTCAACATGTGCAAAACTGAACACACTATCTTCTCACAAGAACAAAAGAAAGATTACTCTTTTTATATTCTGGCTAAGAGTTTTGGTTTTTTCAGTCTCAGGACAAAACCTGGGATTTTTCCCTCTCACCCCTCACAGTTAATTTGTTGCTAAGTTCTGAGAATTCTTCTCAGTTGCTGCCCTTCTCTCCCACCTGGACTGTCACAGTAGGCTCCCTGCCCCTTCTGCCTCTTTCCAGTTCAAGCACAGATTTGATTTTCTACCTCCACCATTCAGTAGCTCTCTAGTGCTTTTTTAGGATCTCGTCCAAACTCCTTAGCCTAGCACATATAGCATGATATGCATAGGCCCCTCCACACCGCTCACTTATTTGTACCACATGCGCCTGCCATAATGAACTTTACATAGTTCCCAAACACTGTTTCAGTTCTTATCTTTAAAAACTTTATGCAGGTGTCATTTCTCTAATTCCTAGCTGGTTGTCTGAACTTCTTTTCTGGCTCTCATAACACCCGCACGTGCACTCCCATCCCTCACCTTGTTTTTGTTTTTGTGTGTCTCCTTACCTTGACTGAGCACATGGAGGATAGAAATAGTCTTTTATCTTTATCCCTAGGAACCTAAAACATTTTGTGGCATATATATGCTCAATTAATGTAGAATGAATTCTCCAAATTCCTGATCCCTTCTCTTTTCCCATAGTAATAAGCATACAATGTTTAAAATGAGAGGGAGCACAGTGCTGTTTTTCAGGAGCAGTAAGGGATTGGAGAGGGAATTTTCTTTTTATTGTACAGTTTCTTGGTTAGGAATCCCTGAGGAATACAGTAGGTGTTAAGCTTTGCTGAGGAAAGCAGTCCCAGTCTCAGCTAGCAAGGCCTGTGG